ACGTTCTTACGTTCTTACGTTCTTACGTTCTTACGTTCTTACGTTCTTACGTTCTTACGTTCTTACGTTCTTACGTTCTTACGTTCTTACGTTCTTACGTTCTTCCGTTCCTACGTTCATTCTTACGTTCGTTCTTACTTTCTTACGTTAATTCGTTCGTTCGTTCGTTCGTTCGTTCGTTCGTTCGTTCGTTCGTATTTGTCAAGTACGAGTATTAAACCGATCAACTAGTATACCATTTTTATAACTGTTTCATAGAAACGACAACGCTAAATTCATTTCAAAAAGATAATTTGCGAATGTGTGTACAATTGAAATCCGAATAAAGTCACGCCAATCGGGACGTAAGAACGACAGTCGTAATCGCGGTAAATATCACGAAGGGAGAATTCCAAGAACGACTCGCGCTACCGCAAACTTTGATCTCCAATTCTTCCGGATGATAGTTTATGCATTTCGGTGGCCTTCGGCGGTACAAACGTTCTCTTCTTGCGGTGCAAGCTCCGGTCTTTGCGAGCGCTTCTATGGGTTCGATGCTAAGCTGTTTACTACCGCATGGACACAAAGTATCCACCACCAACAGTATCAGATTCGTGTGTCGAATTTTCTGTACGCTGAACGGTCTGTAACCACGCGCAGGCATCGATTAGTCGGGGACAAGTTGTTAGTCGAATGAAATGACTGGTTTAATTAGACGCAAACGTACCTTTCACAGCCGGTTACGTGACAGTTTGTCAATTTTCCCTTCAGAGGATCGCTCAGCCCGCTAGTGTTGAGCCGTTCGGGTTGTAAAATGTACAGATCGGTTTTCTTCTCGCAGGTTCTCAGTTTCCGTTGCGGGTAGTAAGCGGACGTGGCCCGTGTCGAGCCAGGAGAGGCGGGAGACGCAGCAGCGACCGACGGAAGCCTGGGAAATATTTGGTTCTCGTCCGTGAACGGTTCACCGGTAGAGTCCGCATCCACGAGCGAAGCGAGTTCCCGTGCCTTCTCCGGTGTATCTGGGAAAATCGTGTCGTCTACGAAGCGAGAGAAGATATTATCCGGCCCATTCCATCGATGTTAGAATCGCGCTATATCGGACGCGATGCGCGATGCAACGACAATCTCGCGACAAGGGGAGGCTGCACTCACCGTCGAAATTCCGCACCGACTCGCCGGCTAGCGCGAAAACGATCTGCCACAAGTTTTGCATATTGAAACCGAATACCAAGTTCCAAAGCATGTGTCCGAATATGGCGACCGTTGTGGCGACAGATTCGGGGAAAGTTTTTGGGGCCGCGGACTGATGAGACTCTTGAGGATTACATTTTCCCTGATAGTCGGTCACCGTCACCTTCCTGAAACGCGACGACGCTCGTACTCGAAAAGCATTCGAGACTGTCGATCGGTGGAACGCGAGGCGTTACAGAGCGCGAGAGTGTGCAGTTACCTGAAAATCTTGTCTTGAACCAAGGAATCCATAATGGTACCGTCGATTTCCCCGAAAAATTTACCGGTGTGATCGTGCCGCTCACTGATGATTATGAATCCGTTATTGTCCAAAATGTAACAGTCCAGTTCTTCGGAAGCACAAGTTTTTTTACAATCCGTGCCGCTACACTGAACACGGAAAATAAAGGTGACAATTCTATATATCGTGTAATTCGACGACGATAGTTCGAATCGTGTGTCTTGTAGATGCGCGTGTCGTAGTAGAGTACATGTGCATACGGTACCGTGGAAGTAATATTGATAAAGTGGGATGCCAACGAAGAATGTTGAAATTGAAGACCAACGACCGCCGCTGGTGCCTTGTGTCCTTTCCCGATGAATACCGCGTGCGTAGCAGTGACCAAAGGATTGGGGCTGTCGGCTGGCGACAACAGACACGAAAATCGTTAGGTTTCATCGATGCGGGTTCTCGACGACGCGCAAACTAATCCGACAAGTATTCTGGTCCGCGGAAATCGGACGAGAAAATGGTTCGTTTCCTGAAATCCGACTGATACCTACCGGCATCAAAGGGCACGCTGAAAACGAAACTTTCCGGTTCTATCGAATGCTGATCGACGGCACGTTTGTACCACGAGGAATCCATTGCTCTCACGTACTTCTCGGCAAACGGTCTGAACAAACGAGACGATTCTCCGTGAAAGCGATGCATCGAAGCACGACGGACAGAAGAATCGTTGAAACGTAATTGATTTGCCGATTATTTGGCATTAGAGTATAAATGGTTATTCGAATATGTCCGAACAATCCTTGTCGAACCTCGCGAATCGAATGGTGCGATAAATGTGTTTGATAATTACGGTTCATCGGTAGGTTCTTCGTTGCTTTGCTGATGCTCGTGCCAACGAAACAGACCGCTTCTGGTCGCTATGAAGCTCCGTGTCACGCCGAATCTGCCTTTTCCTTGACTGCAAATGTTGGAATCGGTTAACAAGGAATATACATGGTGCAACGTTGCGACGTAAATCGAGGAGAAACCATACGAACGTACGCGAAATATTTACAGTATCATTCACAGTTACTATTTCTCGCATATTACGACCGAGTTGCGAATACACGCGAATACACGCGTAGAATGCGTGCAAACGAGTCAATCTAACAGACGGTTCGCCATGTATACTACGAATAGTTATGTTTCCTCGTTTTTCATCGCGATGACACGCGATGGACGTTGATATAGTTGTACATTTAAAATCTTGAATGGGATTACACGAGTTCACGTAGAAAGAAAGAAATATTTCGAGGAGATAAACGAGGATCATCTGGAAGAGGAAACGGTTTCGTGGTGGTCCGTTTCGTGATACGGACAGTGAGGAGAAACAACAGTATGTAAAAAGAACCACCGTGCAAGATATCGACGAGTGCGCTTATACGAATAATTGTGCATAATGGATTACCTGTGCAGCAGAGCCATCAGTATGGCAATAGGGCTAGCGGTGGAGACACACAATATAAAATGTAATAAAAATATGCAATAAAAGATAATATTGTAAATGAAACAGATTAGCCGTTGCGCATAGTACGTGTCGCGGTCAGCCGAGACGTTGCCGCCTAGCCGTGTGGAAACGAAACGAACATTTCGGTTTATCGGATACGTGTATATACAGTTGTGCGTCGAATAGTATATCTGTAACGACAAATATTGCGACATGCATATAGGAAATGGGAAATAGGAAATAGGAAATACGAAGTACGAGATACGAGATACGAGATACGAGATACGAGATACGAAATACGAAATACGGAATACAAAATATCAAGTAAAGAATTCAAGTGTAAATTTCTACATAGTTTGTTCGCGGCTTATCGATTCTACCAACTTTTCCGGTTTCTTTCAGTTTCGTTTCGTTTCTAGTTATTCGTTTGTGTCCCTGTGTTGCAGGATCTAACGCAGGCCCCCTTACGTTCGGCGGTGAGCACCAATGAGAAAATAGCTGGTAAAATTTCCTTTTCGAACAAGAAAAACACTGTTTCCTTGGAAACAGACGACTCGTTCGTGTTTCCTTGCTCGAATAATAATCCTCGACTCCTCGACTCGTTTCCTTTGCTTGCTGTTTCCTCCGGTTTTCGTGGTGAACGGTGTGCTGTCTTCTATTCGCAACAGCATTGTTCCATCGCTCGTGGAAATTGCCACGTTGATTCTCGGCGGTCGGTTTTGTTCGCGACACGACTATGCGAGACAACGGCAAGGGAAAAATAGAGGCAACGATTTCACGATATCCAGTAAAGTACGTTATTCGATAATCGGTGCGTGAGAGAACCGCGTGCTTGTGCATTGCAGTGCATTGCAGTGCATCGTCCATATTTTCGCTATCGGTGTCCACGGGTGAAGGGCATGCACTCGCGCCGGCACGCTTCAGGCCGCTTACCTTTGATTCTCCTCTTTGTGCATCGCACCTCTTTTGTCGAAGCCATCGGTAACCAACGCGTCCAACACTAGAGACTGCACTAATCTCTTATCACCTGAAGAAATAAAGGTGCGGTCAGTGGTCGTTTGCAAAGGACACGGGGACAACGGTAATCCGCAGCAGCTGATCGACCGATCGACCGGCTTCGCGTGCCGTGTCACCCGGCCATACGGGTGCCCGGCTACTTACAGTAGTACGAATCTTTGTCGGGCTTGCTCGCTTGTTTGTGGTGCGAGCTTGGACTCCTTGGTCTCAAGGACATCCATTTCCACCCCGGACTTCGCGTTCGAGAGAGAAAATATAGAACGCGTTCTTCCGGGGTAGAAAACCATTTTTCCGAAGCCGAATTGTATTCGCAGTACACCCAATCGGGGTGAACCTTCCAATTGCTTCCCTTGAAGTATTCGGTCACTGAAACGGACAAAGGCGAATGTGTAGCGCTTCGAAGTACGTGGCGACCCGACCAACACCGAAACGTCATTTCTATCGGGAAATGCCGCGGATCGTCTATAAACTGTTACATTCTACGTATATTTTGCGTACGTTGCGTTTCTGTAACTCACCGTTTATAATGGCATGTTTAATTTCTTGTTCGGCCAACAGTTCGAACATGCCGTAAACATCGGGCAATGCCAGACCCAACGAAAACGGCGTACCCTCGATCGGCTTATAAAAGTAATTGTGTCGTCTAATGGTAACTCTTCTCTGTGTGCGTGCACAGAGAGAAAAAGAAACGTGTTGACGTTAAATAATCTATTCGGGAGATAAATAGACGCGATCGAATAGAGAAGTCGGGAAGGGACGAGTATTCTCGTTGCGTTTACGACCGATTACGACCGATTACGACCGATTACGACCGCGAAATCTTTCCAACCGACACCGAGAAACGATTCGGTAGAAACGTTAGAGAAGTCAGCCGCTCTCTCTCTCTGCGGTGCGGAAGCAGACGAGGGGTGGAGCGGTAAACGGCGGCGATAATCTCGTATCTCACTCACCATGTTGTCGTAATGAATTTTGATCGCGAAACCAGTCTCTCCTTCCTTTTGATCGATCATATCATGCCTCAACTGAAAAATCAATGTGCGTATGTGCGAATGTATGTATCATTGTACAATATATGCGGCAAGTCCGCGTTGAAACTTACGTCGAGAAGAAGGGAATTGTTCAATGGGTGCGACGGATCATCGTGCTCGGCGAGCTCGACTTCCGACAAATCTACGCTTACGTACGTAGGTTTCAATGTTTCTTCGTACTGCACCAACAAATACGGGAAAAAGAAAGAGAACAGAAGGAAAAAGAAAAAGACAGATAGAATGAGCGAACGATACCTGTTGCGTATATTGTCTTTCTTTAATTATAAAATATCGAACGTTTACTCACATCTATGCTTCCGGGCTGCGTGAATTGGAAAGGAAAACAAAACAGAAAACCGAGCATCAATGGAGATTGCAACAGTGAAAAAACAGTGATCGTTTCGAGATAAAAATTTGCTCGCGAATGTTCGATTGACAGTTACTTACCAAAGGGCGCAAGTCCGGATGATATAAAACTCGACCATTATTGTCGACTATGAAGGAATATCCATTGACGCCCAACTACGAATCATGAAAGCAGAAGATTACGCTTAAAAGATTATTTTCATTTCAATGTTCATAATAATAATAACAACAACAATAAAAATAATAGTAACAACAACAACAATAATGATGATGATGATGATGATGATGATGATGATGATGATGATGATGATGATGATGATGATGATGACGAAGACGACAGTGGTGGTGGTGGTAATAATAGGAATGGTGGAAGTAGCAGTAGTAACAGTGATAATCGCATGAAATGCTAGATAATTTGTTTCATAATTTACGTACCTTGTAAGGAGGGACGAGTTTTTGTATTTCTTCGACGGGTACATCGGTGCCGACGATACCCAACAAATTGGCTGTTTTCACCTGCGAGGTGGGGAGAGAAACGAGTAGAGAATGAGAAGAATAGTACGAGTGTGCGAGCGTGCGAGTGTGCCAGTGTGTGCGCGTGTGCACGAGACAAATAAGGAGTGGACAGAAAGAAAAAAAAGAAAAGTTAAATGCAAGTACTTACATATTATGGAAAAAACAGAGTTATAACGGTATCGTCTCGATGTTTTATTTCGATACATGGAAATTAAAGGATAAAGCGTAACTGTACGATTGCATAGAAACGCGTATACAATAATGAGAAGAATGTAAAGTTGCTCATGTTCGTATTTACTCGTGTATAATCCAACAAGGATCATTATTTAACGTTTCAGAGACATCGAACAGATGAGTAGAGAAAAAGGTGAAGGGTGTATTACCGTGTAATTTCGACGATCTAAAATGGGTGCTGTGACCGATGTCATTAGCTGGCCGTTATCTTCTCTGCCGTATCTGCCGCTCTGCGAGAATAAACAAAGTAATGTATAGGGACAACTAAGAACTATACACTCGAATAAAGATCCTTTTCGATTCGCATACTTTGCCACCGACGTAAACTGGACTCCAGTGAATAGGATGGTCGTGCTGGTAAAGTACCATGGGACGTGCGAGGACCTTTACGTATTCAAAGACTTTGCTCTTGATTTCTTCGAGGTGCGTGATTCTCGTATAAAATCCTATAAAACGAACGCGATGGTTTACGAAGCGCTACGGTTCGAACGTAGCTATCTCGATACGATGGTCGGCTGCTCACCTTTGTTGGCACAAGCGGTATCGTGCAATTCTGGGCTCTTGTCGCCGCCTACGAGATACGTAAAGATACGAACAGGCATGTGAGGCCAATTGTATCGTTTGATCACGTCCGTAGGTAATCCGGCGTTATCCGCAGTGATCAGCATAATCGCTTGGTTACATTGACTTCCTTGTCCTGTCCTGTTGTATCTATGAAGAATCTCGAAAACAGTCCCAAGGGCAGCCGATATGTTTGTCGGCGTTTCTTCGTGTTTCAGCGAGCTGGCCGCTATTTTCAGCTCTTGTACATTCTCCGGGGATGCTTGAACTAAACTGTCTTTGAAGCATTGAACAATCTCCTCCGCCGTATCGCCGTAACGATAAACGTTCGCGTAGTCGTTGGGGCCCAAAGTGTCAAGGATAGTTTGAACGGTGGCTACGGTTAATCGTTTGATCCTTTCGGACGCGTAGCATTCGATATCGACTAGTATAGCCAAGTCTTTCGGACTGTTTGCAGCTCCGACAAACCAATTCGAGATGCGAAAGTCGTAGACATCTCGCAGGACGCGACTCGCGGTTCTTTTCGAGTTGGATGCTCGTTCCTCGGAGGGGGGCCAAGAGATTGCTGTGAAAGAGAGAAAAGGAAAGAGAAGAGGCAGTGGATGGTGCGTGTCGTAGACCAATCACAGAATTGTGGGGCTACGAGAAATGGATGAATGGTAAACCGTACCCGGAAAACGTCGCAAGAATCCGGAAGTCGCGCCATAGTACTGCCAGGACAGAGAAGGATCGCTCTCGTAGTTGTTTACGAATAACAAATCCAAATATTCGCTCCATTGAATGTCTGCGGTTACTTCGCGATCTGAACAGAAGGCGGGGGTAATTATGGAGAGTTTCGAAGCGGAAACTAAGCATGCACGATCATACTCTACTGCGGAGAGGTTCGGTTCGATGAATAATTACAATCGTCTTTGATTCCGGCAGGCATCAACACTGTCGAGAACGTGAGATTGATTGGCAAATGGTCAAAGTGCCGACTGGAGAAGAGAAAATTCTCCTGACCGGTCGCCGAGGATTTCCCGTCTCCCGAAAAAGTATCGAAGCGTTGCGACGAATAATACTTGGGCGATACGTTTCCGTCTCTAGGCGCGGATACAGCTGCTTGCTCGGCGCTCTCCACCAACCTCTGTAATCATGTACATGTAATAGACGAATATTATTGGGAATATCATCGTACTCTTTGTTCTTACCATGACAGCGTTCATCTTAAAGTCCAACATATTCTTCACCTCGGCTGCCATTTCCCGTACCAAGACTAGGCCGTCCTTCTTCACAATCTCGGCGTTCATTTCGTGATACTTCTACTTGCAACACAGCAGAACAACGGAAGGATTGAAAAGTTGGATCGGTATTTGAAATCGAGACAATTAGAAGATCGACGATGCAACTAATCGCTTGTCCGAGCAAGCGTGCTATGCCAACGATGTTATTCCGATTGAAGATTGATACTATTCCATTAATACGAACAGTTTTCTTACCCTCTGTATCTCGCTCATTTTCGTGACCTGTTTGCCAAACTCCCACAAGTCTACGCCGAATTTCAGGGCCCAGTTTTTTACTCTGCAAACGAAATGTAATATAAAATCTAATATATAATTATAAAACTGGAATTTTCTCAACGTTTCCGTACGAGTGTACGCGAGAATACCGCGAGATCGAGTCTCGTCCGAGTAAACGATTGCGTTTCAACGAGCCATTACAGGTAGAGCTACAAACAACTACACCCCGTACCAATGTTTCCCGTATGTGCGACATTGGACCGTAAAAGCTCGAACGGACGTGGACGATTGTGACGAGAGCGACTGTATCACCTGCCTCTATACGCGTACAAGTCGTGTCGTATCGTGTAGCGTAGGTGTAAAGGAGCATCATTGATGCGTTCGCGTATACATGCAAGCTCACGTAAGCACGCACGCACGCACGCACGCACGCACGCACGCACGCCGATAGTTCTGATCCTCGTTAATCGACTGTGTACGTACGCGTAACTCGAGCACGCGCCTGCGTTCTTTTCATTCTTATCATTCTTGGTGATTTCCTTCGAATCGTTGATAGGCATCTGCGATTTCAACAATCGTAAATCGTAAATCGTAAATCGTAAATCGTAAATCGTAAATCGTAAATCGTAAATCGTAAATCGTAAATCGTAAATCGTAAATCGTAAATAGGAAATCGTAAATCGTGAATCGTGAATCGTGAAATCGTAACGTGTCGCGGCTTCTTTGTTTTTCAATGACAATGCGCGAGCTAATAGCGCTAAGCGCAACGACGCGCGGCGCGATGAAATATCCAGGTGCTGCCTCAACTAACAGACGTCTGGTAGATGCCACGCATTCGCGATAATACTTTGGTATATTCGCGAGTCCGTCTAGCCCCTCCCACCGCATCGTAGCCCGTTTAGTCGGGGAGAAAAGGAGAGAAAAAAGGTACGATGGTAATTCTCTGGAACCTCTGAAGGTTAACGCGGTGGTTGTTGTTCGTTGCACCGTTCTATCGTTAAATCTGGTGAAATTGAAATGTCCGTCGATCGTTTAGCCAACAGCCAGTCGTTGAACGTAGGAAAGAGCAATTAAAATCGGTCGTTTCCCTGTATCCCCCTGTACGTGAGATTCGAGTACAGATCAGAATTCCGTATCGAATATGCTCGTCGTACGAGCCATCCACGCCCCTTCGGCGAGAAGATCGAAACCTCTCCGCGCCTCTTTCACGATACGATTTCTCCAAGAAACGTGCACGGATAACGCGTGCAGCGTGTACACCGTAAGCCGTCTAACGCGTAGCGTACAGCGTGCAGCGTGCAGCGTGCAAAGTACAACGCGCGACGGTATAGAGCGGTTAACGTACTCCGGTCGAATGGAGAAAAGGAAATTGCTTGTACTCACTCGATATGAGGTATGTCTTCTTCCTGTTGGTAACTCGATTTGATCCATAACAGTACTAACAACACTCCGCAGCGAAAGAATCTTTTGACGGGTAAAAACATTATTTCGTCCGTATCGATTGGCAGCCTAATAAAAACCAACGACCAAGACCAAGACGGTACCACCGGGCAATCTCTTAGGAAGCTACGTGTACGCTGGTACGAAGCGATTTCTCGGAAAGAATCAGTCTTGGCGCTCCTTCGTAGTACAGATCGATCGGCCGGAATACGGGAATGAACGTTACGTGTACGAATTCGCCGTTTCGATGGAATCTTGTTTATTCGTGAATATTCGATTGAAAACAGCACGGCGTAACAGCAGCACCCTTGTACATTACCGTATCGATGCTTGCCACGTTAGGTATACGGGTCTCGTAGCGAGTATTCGCATCCGTATCGTCCCTCGTTTCCTCTTATTATTACACGTCTTGTTCCCTTTCGATCGGTCGAGCCAACTTGCCATACGTTCTTGCGATACGCTTCGTCGTGCAGCCGTCAAACGGAACGCGTAGCTGTCTTCCACTTTGACCGGGTCGAGTTACTCCAAGAGCTCTCCCCGACGTTTTCACACGTTTCGATCCGATCCGGCACTCTACTCTGTTGGATTTCGGTAATGTCGTCTAAACACGCGTTCGATAAGATTGTCACTGATCAACGACGACGACGACGACGACGACGACGACGACGACGACGACGACGTCCACCGCAACGACGCGTACGATGAAACTCGAAAGGGATGCAGCGTATATGGGGAGACGTTGTAGCTCGGCGGCCCGTAATAATTCACCTCCAACGCACAGTCTTTCTCCGTGGACGTTTCTCTGAATACGACGCGAGTTCTCTCAGCGATTCAATCATCTCAAATTCAATTCGTTTGACGATCTGTTTGCGTGCACACAAATATGTGTATAAATATGTGTATAAATATATGTATAAATATATGTATATACGTACGTACATACATACATACATAGATACATATATATGTGTATATTATATGATATATCATGTATCGTACATCATACATCATAGAGCATACATCGTTTCGCGTTACATTAGATTGGAGTGATCGTCCGAAAAGGTGTATTCCGAAGGGTTAACCGATCAAGGGGTAAATGAAAAAAGTGACCTTACGTTACAACACCACCACCACCACCACCCCATCAGATAAAACGGCGTTTCTTAGTCTCTATCTGTTTTATCGTGTATCCTTGTACGTTCGACGAGTATTTTATTAAATCTGCCGCAGGAATCGAACATTATAGATATCTTTTACGTCTCTGATACGATTCGCTTTACGATTCACGATTGCACCAGCGTTTACCACCTTGTCGCGCGATTTCTCAAGTATGTTCACACCGTAACGCGCAGAGAACCCGAAAGAATGAAGAACGAGGGTGGGATAAGAGAGAAACCGAAGAGGAAAGGAGAAAGAGTAAAGAGAGTAGTGGGAGCCAACCGGTGGAGGGGAACGCGTACGATCACGATGGAAGGAAAGAACAAAATGATGGAAAATTTCAACATTTCCACGTGAAACACGCGTGACACCCGATACAATGGGAAATCTAATTGCGGTTTAAAGTTGCTCACTGTTTCCAAAGTACAATTAAAAGACGCGATCCGTTTCGATTGTATTCTCTCGTGAAAATTGTTCAAAGATGGTGTACCAGTCGCTTTACGTTCGAGCCAAGAGTGGCTCGCTGGCTGGCTGGTTGGCTGGCTGGCTGGCTGGCTGGCTGGTTGGTTGGTTGGTTGGTTGGTCGCTCGGTCGGCCGGTGGTTGACACGCGCGAGCGCGGGTACGGGCGCGNNGGCGAGTAGAAGGGCGGCTTAGATCGACGACGCAAACACGATAAGTAAGGGACAGGAGGTGAAGGTTCCGAGGCACCGGTAATGAAAAGAGACGACAGCCCGAGACAAAGATGGATATTACCATCGAGGAAACCCTTTTCCCTGCGACGCGGCGTAGCCAAGATAGACGAAGGGAGATGTTTCGACTAGCGGGAACGAGATCCTCTCGACCTCGCGACATAATAGGGGTAACTGTAACGCGGCGCAAGCCCGACATCATTGATTTAACATGCGTCTATAGCTCCGTGCATAAAGCTGAATTTTCCTAGACTCCATAGATCCGAGCAACCCCAACACGGCTACTTCCTTCTTCCCTTTCGGTGTCACCTCTACCGTGTGGCATTTCCATGCAACCGACAACGCTACAGAACCAACGAATCTTTCGTTTTCGAGGAATATGTTTCTGGTACGTTCAACGTCGGGCTGCGCCGCGTTTCAGCCAGAGTTTCTTACATCCTCGTACGTTTAACGGCGCATCTCTTCTGCTCGAGTAAGCACACGACGAACGTGTATAAAAGTGTACATGGATCGATTTCTTAAACACTATTGCTCGTTTTTTCCGGGTCGCATTTATTTATTCAAAAACTTGATATAGAATATTTAAAATAACAATTTAACGCAAACATTCTTATTCGCTGAACTTATCAACTTTCGTTATTGTACGCTTCATCATGATTAATATTTACTGTTACTATCTCGCTGTCGCGCGTTACCATTCTCATCTTTATATAGTAATTGCTAATACCGTTATTTCTACTATTATTATGGCTATTGTTGTCGTCATTGTCTTCATTGTTTTCATTGTCTTCATTGTCTTCATTGTCTTCAGTGTCATTGTCGCAGTCATCGTTGGAATTATAAAAAGTAGAAATCCACAGAGACTCTCTTTCTTCGACGCAGAGGGAGATATACCGTCCCGCGCGCGCGCGTGTGCGTGTACGTGCACGCGTACGTGTTCTTCCTCGCGACGAAAACGACTATACTGCCTGAGATATAATCTCGTTTACCCGCATAATAACGATGGGACGAAGTTCCTGTTGAGCGTAGTCTTCGGGTAACGGCAACTGCGAGACCAGCTGAAGAATTACGGTAGATCTATTTTCGTTTGCCTGTAATAAACTTTTGCCCAGGTGCAACGTTCTTTTCGCGATTTCCGCTTGACAGAGTCTGAAAAATAATCAAGTCCTGTGTAGACACGTTGCAATTCCGTCACTCGGAGCGACAGACTTCCCATTAGTGTTTTCGCGGAGTAACGAGAGCAAGTCATCGAACCGAGCGCGTTGGCTGAACGTACAACGTTGTTACCTGTGCTTCGCGGTCGGACAGGGGAATTGGTTAATCTTTAAGCAAAGACACGTTAATCGTGGCTTCAGCAGCTCCAATTTGTAACTTATTTCGCGAGGATCGGCCCCGCGCAACAATGATTCGATATCCATAGCGATCTCCATGTAGTCCCAAAGCAATTCCCCTTGATACGACCATCCACTTATGGTGCTGCTACATTCCGAAGGAATCAATGGACTCAACAGCTCGCGTAGATACTCGTAATTCTCTGAAAAGTTTGTTTAGTAACGCGTTAATCGAGAGTACTCGTGGAGAAGGAAACGGGAACGGTTGGTGAAAGATACTTGCCGTTTATTATAGCATCCGCGGCAAGATGTTCGATAATAATTTCGTGCGCAGTGTTCCACTGTTCCGCTTGAATGAAATACGACGCGGCTTCTCCGTACCTGAGACGAGAGAAAATCAACGACTCGATCAAACACTGAATGTTCGATCCAACTTCGAGTTATGGAGCTCGAGACGATGGTAGGACAACGCGCAAGAGTAGAATTACGCGTACCAACCTTTTGGCTACGTAACTTTTCACAGCTTTGGCTTCGTGAATCCAAACGGAGGGTATACCGAGCTCTTCCCGCAAAAACGTTTCTCGTTCGATGTAATCACGGATATGGTCTATTTCAACGTGTCGTTGCAATAAATTTTTCACCGCGGCTTTCCTTTTCCCGGTGTCTTTTAAATGTAACATCACAAATATGGCCCAGTGCCAAAGTCCATACGCTTCCAGTTGCGTGGCAAAATTGATATGAGTCAACGCGGCAACATGTTCCGCCAAGTGCGAGTAGCCCAACGCTAAAAGTACTTGTTGCATCAGCCAACTGTAATGGGACAGAGATTCACGATGGTGAACAAACGTTTCTATCGATCCGACAGCTTCGAAATCCAAGTAAGATTAAGTTTCACCTGAGTCTGTAATCTAATGGGTCAGCGGTATGGGTAGCGGGATTCAAAAGATTCCCCAACGTATGATTGCCGATACAGAACAACTTCAACAGATGATAACACAGATCGTATATCGATTGCCCGTTGTTCGCTTCCAGCTCGTAATCGACCGCTCCTCTGTATTCGGGTATAGGTGCTGCCGCGTAGGCGTCCGTTGTTTTGGTCGCGTCGAACGAGGCCTCGTAAAGCTCTAATATGTCTCTGATGGATGCGACCGGTGACGAAAGATACCTGTAACACGTTTCCACGCATCACGTACGCACGCAAATACACATACGCGTTCTCTTTTCCAGCTCTTTTCGACTGCAGATCGAAACACTGTGTTTCTCGTTTTTACCATAGATGGACGGCCAATGCCCTCTTCCAATCGAGATTCTCGCAAACATTGATGAGACCGTGTTTACTGGATATTAGCGGTTCGCCCGCCACCAATGCAAACAGTTTCAACCGGTCGGTCGATATGTTCTCGTCGACGCCAGAGTCTTGCCACAACGCGATTTGCTGCTTTATCAACGTTTTCGTAGGCATCCCGCTGCGTAACTGAGCCATGAGCAGCGCCAAACAGTGATCGCCCGCCTCTCGTGCGAGTTCGCACGCCCCTTGCAGTTCGGCAGCTTAATATCCATTCGTCGCAAGGCGGCGTCGGAGGGAAACGGAAGAAAGCGAGAAAACGAAAGCCGTGTTAAATAGCTTTCCTTGGAACGTGTTAATAGAGCTTTCCTTAGAATCGCGCATATTACAGCTTGTCGAGCGCGTGCAATGCTACTACATACCAGACAGCAGATCCAGCATCCTCTCTTCGTTGCTGATCATTGTTTTCTCTCCTTCTAATCCGTCCAATCCCCTCTGTATAACACTCCTGAACCACTCTCCAATGGCTTCCCGTCGGGCTATTACGATATTGTGGTCAGCCGCGTTTACTGGAACAACGATAGAAACTTGATGAGAAATTGCTCGCGGAAATCCAGCGGCAACAGAAACATCGCATCGTACCGGTAAGAACGTTTACATCGGGTAGAGTTCCCCATAGAGCCACGCAGAGTTTCCAGACGTTGGCTACGTATGCCGCGAAACTGTCGGCGGCAAACTGGTCGGCGAATTCTTCCGCCAAACTACAGTGCGCGTGTAAAGCCATGCTCGCTTTGTTAATGTCCGTGTCCACGAGGAAAATTGGACAATCCCCCTCCTGATCCATGATGCGGTGCGACAGCTGGATCTTTAGATGACCTTCTACGCTTCTCTTCAACGTGAAAGCAGAGAAATACTCGAGTAAGCGAAAGTTGATTCTCTAACCGAGCGCATTTTCGATAGGAGGATATGCAAGAAGAAGACACGCGAGATTCTCACTTTGAATATTTCAACGCGATCCTCGTCGGTTCCGCTACCACCCAAGATTTGTATACGTTGAACGATTGCGACAGACGTCGGGTCTTCCGGAATACGACCGCCCACGTATGAACCGATCTGTTCGAACGAACTGTGTAGCGGTACACCGTCGGCTTGTCCTCGCGTGCTCAGTGTCAGCAGCGTTAAGCCGCGTCCCCAGCTTGGTTTAAACATTCTTCCCATGTGTATACCTACCGAAAACGGTACGCGTTCGCTTTTACTGCCAACGAAATTCGCTCAGCACCGAGGTCAGGATAGAAATATTACCCACCAGCATCGGCAACACAGCGGGACTGCAATTTGTTTATAATCGATTTCGACAACGGAACTACTTCGGAATGCCATTTCAGAATCGCGGTTACCGGAATCACAACAGGATCTGGAAACTGTCTACCGTAGATGGACGACTTTGCGGTGACGATGTCCATCGATGGTTTCAATTTACTATCTGTAACGATAGACATGCGACAGGCATTGAAACGTTTCGAATCACTCGTACGAATTCGCAACGGACACGAGACGATACCAAGAACACGATAAATTCACCTGTTTTCGGAAATATCGACTCTTCGTAAACGGTAGATGGAGTACGATGAATCGTCAAGTTTGACCGCAAGATTGGACTGTAAGTCATTTTCTGTCTCTGTTCCTCGTCCAGAGTTTCAAAACTGTCGATGTAACATCGTACGACGGAACTTTTTTGACCAGAAACGAGTAAGGCTGATTCTACGATATACAATTACGATATACTGTATATGCTGATTCTACGATATACAATTTCCACGCGCATCATCATCGCGCATACCTTGTTCGCAGATGTCATTCATCTCTTCGTCGCTGCCGTCGAAGAAACTGGCCTTCATCAGTTGCAATTTATGACTATCCGTACCCAAGATCCGAGCGTTGTCGCTCGTTGGACTTACCGTGTTCTCAATCTTCGACTCGTTGCTCGCACCATTGGCAACGGTGCTGCTGCTGCTGCTAATTTTCTTCTCCTTTGTAAGGGGGAACATAGGAAATAGTAATGAAAAGAAATAATGGTTACGCTATCGCGCCGATTTGGCGAGCGGGTTTGAATATCTTACCGGACGATACGACTGTTTTAATTTAGTCGCAGCCGCCTTTTTTTGGAACGACTCGGACAATTTAAACCTTTTCAGGTCAATGGCGGTAGGCACGTTACCACT